GCCAACTCCTGGAGCCTGGAATTGCTATAGACACCAGCCCCCTTCCAGTAGCTCCTGTCAATTGCCTGGATTCCCATCCTGGCTGGAATCAAGAGGACAGCATCCCCCAGGCTCCCAACAGGCAGGACTCCCACACACCCTCCTCTGAGAGGCCACTGTGCTCCGTAGGGTCAGGCCCCAGACAGTCCCCCTCACCTGCCACTACAGACACACCTGCCACTGATGTCCCTACCTGGCAAAGACCACTCATGGAGCCCCCAGCCCCAGGTAGAGCAGTAGAGAGAGTCTCCGAGGCCCCTAAAATGGAGTTCATGCCCAGTTCTGCCTGGACCCTCAGCCAGGCTGACAGGAGTGGACGCTGGAGCTGGGCCTGCACTGGGCTGCATAGGAGCTCACCGGTGAGGAGCACAGGAGAGCACATGCCGGGGGAGCACCCAGCCTCTTGCTGACCGGAGGCCTGTTCCAGAGCCCAGGAGGCTGCTGAGGCCTCTCCAGGGGGACACTGTGCACATCTGGTACCTAAGCAGCCCCCCTTAATCCCCAGCCCTGGGGGCCCCTGGCACAGCTGTCTGGACCCTCCCTGTTCTCTGGGAAGCTCCTCCTGACAGCCCCGCCTCCAGTTCCAGGTGTGGTTATTGTCAGGGGGTGTCAGGCTGTGGGGGATATAGTGGGTACAGTTACCACAGTGGTGCCGCCCATAGCAGCAACCAGGCCAAGTAGATGGGCCCCTGCCGCGCAGCCCCAGGCCTCCAGCTCACCTGCTTCTCCTGGGGCTCTCAAGGCTGCCGCTGTCTGCCCTCTGGCCCTCTGTGGGGAGGTTCCCTCAGTGGGAGGTCTGTGCTCCATGGCAGGGATGACTGAGATAGAAACCAAAGTCTGGCGGGACAGGCAGCTTCCAGCCCTGAGAGGTGCAGGCAGTACCACGGAGTCACAGAGCCACGGAGCCCCCAGTGTGGGCATGTGAGGGTGCTATGCCCCTGGCAGACCCAGCCCTGATGGGGAAGCCCGCCCGTCCCACAGCCCAGGTCCGCAGGGACAGCGGGCACAGAAGCTGCCAGGCTGTGCTCCATGATCCTCATCCCTCCAGCAGCATCCCCTCCACAGTGGGGAAACTGAGGCTTGGAGCACCACCCAACCCCCTGGAAACGAGGCTGTGAGCCCAGGCAGTGGGCCTGGAGCATTGTGTGTACCCCGGCAGTACCTGGGTACAGGGATCAGCCAGAGATGCCAAACCCTGAGTGGCAGAAGGGTCCAACCCCACCCACGCCACTCGATTAATCCCATCCCCCTACCCTGGAGACCTCTTCGAGAACCACCAGCAGCTCAGCTTCTCAGGGCCTCATCCCTGCAAGGAAGGCCAAGGGCTGGGCCTGCCAGAAACACAGCACCTCCCAGGCCGCGGCTAAGACAGGGTGGGCAGACGGCTGTGGACAGGACGCATTGCTGGGGCATCTGTCACTGTACCTTCTGGGTATTGGCTCCCATAGCACAGTCCCTGCCAAAATCTCCACTGCCTCCCCTGCTGGGCTTGTCCTGGTCTCCTCCTGCTGTCTGAGGAGGCTGCTGACCTCCAGGATGGCTCCTGTCCCCAGTTCCAGGCCCAGAGCAGATCCCAGGCAGGCTGCAGGCTGGGAGGACACCCCCATCCTTGCTGCAGTTCAGTGAAGGTGCCCAGGGCAGGAAATGGTATGAACACAGGGATGACCGGGCCATCCCACACCTGAGTCCGCCCCTCCTGCTCTGCACCCCGCACTCCCCAGGCCAGTCCACAACGTCCGACAACCCCACACCACAGTCACTGCCTGGCGCTGCCCTGGGGAGGACCCCTCAGCCCCCACCCTGTCTGGAGGACTGGGGAGGACAGGACAGAGGCCCTCTCCTTACCGTTCCCCCACCTGGCTCCTGCCGGGACCCTCAGGGTGTGGACAGAAAGGATGCCTGCCTGGTTGACCTCCAGGAGCCGGGAACTTCTCTCCAGGGACCCCGGCCCGAGCGCCCCCTAACCCAGGACCCAGCCTGCCCCTACTCCCCTCTGCCCTCCTCATCTCCCCAAGGGAATCTGGAATCCCCAGGAAGCCATCCGGAAGGGCTGAGGGAGGAAGCGGGGCTGCTGCACCACTGTGCGGGAGGCTCTGTCTTCGTGAACCCAGGGAAATGCCAGCCTCCTGGAGGGTATGGTCCACCCTGCCAAGGGCTCCCACCATAGCAGGCTGCGGGGAAAGACCAGCGACGATGTGCAGGAGGGCTCAGGGCTCCACGGGTGCTCCTCCGTCCTCAGTGAACCCCCATCGCTGGTGACCCACTGACCCGCCCACCTCCAGGTCGTCCACACCTTCCTAAGCCCCACCTACACCAGAGCTGGTAGAGCCAGAGCAGACAGAGGCTGGGGTGCAGGGGGGCCGCCAGGGCAGCTTCAGGGAGGGAAGGATGGAGGGACGGGAGGTCAGTGAACATGGCCTCCTCCCCTGGGTCCAGGATCCTCCTATGGGACCCCTGGATCCCGCCTCCTCCAGGCTCTGGGAGGTCAGAGGGGGAGATTCTGTGCGGGACCCTCTCACAGTGGAATACCCCCCAGTGGCCCAGGCCAGACCCAAAAGCACCTCAGTGAGCTCTGCACTGCAGTGCCGGGCCTGGGCAGCCCCTCCCAGACAGGACAGACTCAGCACCCCGAGGAGGTCCTGCCAGGGGCAGCTCAGAGCCATGGAGGAGCAGGATATGGGGCCCCCAATACAAACACAGACGTCAGCTCCATCCAGGACCACCCAGCCCACGCCCTGAGAGGAACGCCTGTCTCCAGCCTCTGCAGGCCCGGAGGCAGCTGGCCTCTGCCTCTGACCCCTACTGCAGACACCAGACAGAGGAGCAGGCCTCCCAGAGCCAGGGTTGAGGGACACCCTCGTCAAGTCCAGACAAGACCAAGGGGCGCTGAGCTCAGCAAGGGAAGGCCTCCAAACAGACCAAGAGGTTTCTGAAGGTGTCTGTGTCACAGTGGGGTATAGCGGCAGCTGGAACCACAGTGACACTCGCCGGGCCAGAAACCCCATTCCAACTCAGCGGAACGCAGAGAGAGCAGGGAGGACAGGTTTAGGATCTGAGACCGCACCTGACACCCAGGCATCAGACGTCTCCCCTCAAGGGCACCACACACTGTCCTGCATTTCTGCAAGAACAGGGGCAGGCTGGGGGGAATCTAGGGCAAGGAGATGGGTCCCCTCTACCCCAAGGAGGAGCTGGCAGGGCCCAAGCACCCTCCCCATTGAGGCTGACCTGCCCAGAGGGGCCTGGGCCAACTGCACACACTGGGGCAGAATGTGTGCAGGACCCGGTCTCTGTGGGTGTCCAGCTAGCTGGGGCCCCCAGTGCTCACCCCACACCTAAAACAAGCCACAGCCTCCAGAGCCCACAAAGGAGACCCCACCCAGCAGCCCAGCCCCCACAGGAGGCCCCAAAGCTCAGGCCATCTGGTTGGATTCTGAACAGCCCCAAGTCACAGTGGGTATAACTGGAACTACCACTATGAGAAAAGTTGCGTCCAAAACTGTCCCATGACCACTGCCGGAGGCCCAGCCAGAGAGGGGAGCAGCCGCCCGAACCCACGTCCTGCCGGCTCCCGTGACCCCCGGCACCCGGAGCCCCACGGTGTCCCCACTGGATGGGAGGACAAGGGCCGGGGGCTCCGGCGGGTCGGGCAGGGGCTTGATCCCATCCTTCTGCCCTGGGCCCAGTGCCCCGGGCTGGAGTTGACCCTTCTGACAAGTGTCCTCAGAGACACGGGGATCATTGGCGCCTCCCAACATCAACCCCAGGCAGCCCAGGCACAAACCCACATCCAGAGCCGACTCCAGGAAGGGAGACGCCCCAATACCCTGGGGGACCCGACCCTGATGACTCCCGTCCCATCTCTGTCCTCACTCAGGGCCTGCTGCGGGGCCAGCACTTGGGAGCAGACTCGGGCTTAGGAGACACCACTGTGGCCCCAACCTCGAGCAGGTCACAGACCCTTCCTTCCTGCCCTGGTGCAGCACGGACTTTGGGGCCTGGGCCGGGAGGAACTTCTGGCAGGTCACCAAGCACAGAGCCCCCAGGCTGCGGTGGCCGCAGGAGGATCCCAAGGAGGTGGCCCACGCCCCTTCCTCCCAGCTGGACCCCATGTCCTCCCCAAGAGAGGGGTGTCATCCAAGGCAGGTCCTCCACGGAGCCCCCTTCAGGCTCCTCCCCGGACCCCACTGGGCCTCAGTCCCGGCTCTGGGAATGCAGCCACCTCGGGCACCCCAGGCAGCCCAGGCCCAGCCACCCTGCAGTGTCCAAGCACACACCCTGGAGCAGAGCAGGGTGTGTCTGGGAGGGTCTGTGCTCCCCACCCCCACCCCCACCTGCACACCCCACCCACCCCTGTCCAGTGGCTCTGCAGGGGGCACAAGCCACCATGGGGTACGGACTTAGGGTCTCACTCACGCGCCTCCCCTCCTCGGTAAAGGGGTCTCATGCCGAGATCCCCACAGCAGCCCTGGTCACAGGTGGAGGCAGTGGTTCAGGGCCGCCCTGACCTGGCCCCTCAGGTTCCTCCAGCCCCGGCTGCCCTGCTGTCCCTGGAGGCCTGGGCTCCACCAGACCACAGGTCCAGGGCACCACCCGCAGGTGCCGCCCACACACAGCTCACAGGAAGAAGAGAAGCCCCAGACCCCCAGGGCCGGGACCTGGTTACTACCCCGGCTTCCTGCCCCAGACCTCGGCGCCCTCCCCCTTCCACTTACACAGGCCAGGAAGCTGTTCCCACACAAACCGGGACCACCTGACACTCAGGTCACTGCCGTTTCCTTCTCCGTTTACTCCCAGTGCCTCTGTGCTCCCTCCCTCCTCCCTCCTTCGGGGGAACACCCTGTGTAGCCCCTTTCTGCAGCCCACACCCTGGGGAGACCCGACCCTGCACCCCACACCCTGGGGAGACCCGACCCTGCCCCCAGCCCTTTCTACCCCATTGCTCTTGCCGCCCACACAGACAACCCTGGGGTCCTGTCCCTGCAGCCCCCACCCTGGTCTCCACCCAGACCCCTGTCCCTCCCTCCAGACACCCCTACCAGGCCAACCCTGCACCTGCAGCCCTCCCCTCTTCTGCTGCAGAGCCTCAGTTTCTCCCGCCTGTGCCCATCACGTGCCTCCTCCTGCCCACAACTCAAGCTCTTCCTCTCCTGGGGCCCCTGAGCCATGGCACTGACCCTGCACTCCCACCCACACACTGCCCATGCCCTCACCTTCCACTGGCCACTCCGGCCCCGCTCCCCTCTCAGGCCCGGCTGTTGTATTTCCAGGACAAAGTCTCGCCCAAGTCTTTCCCATGCAGGCCTGGGCCCTTGCCCTCACTGCCCGGTTACAGGGCAGCCTCCTGTGCACAGAAGCAGGGAGCTCAGCCCTTCCACAGGCAGAAGGCACTGAAACAAATCGGCCTCCAGCGCCTTGACGCACGTCCGCCTGTGTCTGTCACCGCCTGCACATGCAGGGAGGCTCGGCTCTCCCTTCAAAGATGAGGGATCCAGGCAGCAACATCACGGGAGAATGCAGGGCTCCCAGACATCCGGGTCCTCTCACAGGCCTCTCCTGGGAAGAGACCTGCAGCCACC